GTTGCGAGTTAGATATTCTTTTCACTACTAGTATTTCGATGCCTTAATATGCTTTGACTTATTTATGTTATGCTTCAGCGTTGTAGTTTATGCACATCGTAAAATGCTTAGTTTACCATATCAAATTTGCTTAGGATAAGGTTTGTGTGCATTCTCTTACGGTCTAATTAGAAATGAATTATTGACGCTCCCCTGCAGAAAGAAAGAAGAAGTTGAAAAAACTCTGTTCTTAAGTTTGTTGTTTTTCTTCCTTTCCCCTTTTTGATGGTTCTTGGGTTGGGCGAATTAAATGTTAGTGCTGATTGATACAATTTGTAATGTCCTTGGGCCCTAGATAGTGGTTCTCGGAGGTGGATCTTTCGGAACAGCAATCGCAGCTCATGTTGCAACGAGAAAATCCCCTTTGGAAGTGAATATGCTCGTCAGAGATCCTCAAGTTTGTCGATCAATAAATGAGGAACACCATAACTGGTGAGTTTCTGCCTTTAATTCTGGTCTTGTATATACTTTTAGGCTTTTAACATAAACAAACTCATAGCCATCACCTGGACCTAAACTCCCAGCCAGTTCCACTGAGTCCGTTCATTTTGTTCTTCATAACCTTTTTCCTTCTCTTTTGCTCCAGTAAGTATTTTCCACAGCACGAGCTACCAAAAAATGTCATTGCCACTACTGATGCAAAAGCTGCTCTGCTAGGTGCAGATTTTTGCTTCCATGCTGTACCTGTTCAGGTATATTTTATGTTTTCTTAGTTCATCGTTTGTTTATAGTGCGATGAACTATGCTTGGAACCATGGAAGCAAATTTACTATCTCATGCCCTAGTCCTTATTTGCTTGGATTTGCAGCTAAAGTTTGTCCATTTATTCTGATTTGGCTGATCTCTTATTTTGTAACTAGTTTAACCTTAAGGAAGGTAGTGCATTTACCAATTATATCTTATTGCAGTTCAGCTCATCATTCCTTGAGGAAATTGCAAACTATGTTGATCCAGGCTTGCCTTTCATATCTCTTAGCAAGGGGTTAGAGCTAAACACATTAAGAACGATGTCTCAGATAATTCCCAAAGCACTGAAAAATCCTCGCCAACCCTATGTTGTTCTATCTGGTCCTTCCTTTGCACTAGAGCTGATGAATAAACTACCAACAGGTTGTTTGGACTGTTTTGAGAATTTATTTTGCCATTGCTTGAAGCTCAAAAGTAAGCTTTATTTGCTTGTGCAGCACTGGTAGTGGCTTCAAAAGACCAAAAGATAGCAAATTCCGTTCAGCAACTTATGGCTTCTAAAAATCTGAGAATCAACACATCAAGGTATTTCAATCAGTAGTCAGAGCAGAAACATTGATTCCCAGTCTATCATAGAGTATTACCACTCAAAGCTAGGGAGCTTTTTGACGCTCCCTTTCTGTCGTTCCATATCTTCAAGGGAAGCACAATAATGTAGTGATCTAACAGGATCTGTTTGATGCTTATCCTGCTTTCGATTTTGGATGGGTTTCATGGACCTTGAAGGATCATCAGCAGGAAAAAATAATTCTTTTATTCTATACTTTAAGAAACATTATGAAGAAAAAATTGTTTCAGTTTGATTTTTTCAAGGAGGGAAATTGTTAAAATTCTGACATCTTTTGTCTGATTGGATCTCCTCTGGGTCATGTTAGTTGCATTTTTGGATCTCAGAATCATATACTCCCTCCAATTCAATTTATATGACGTAATTTGATTGGACACGAAATTTAAGAAAGGAAAATTTATGTAATTTGTGGTCTTAAACATGTTATATTATTTGTGTCGCTATAAGACTTTTGAAACTTGTAGTCTTAAACATGGCTATAAAAGTTTTTCATTGAGGGTAAATGGAATGGCTTAATAAGAAAATCATGTCATACAAAATGAAATGGTGTGAGTAAATAAAACAACATTTAGGAGGTGCACATATTTGAAACTATTATGGATTGTATTTTAGATCAAGTAAAAAAGGAAAGAAAAAGAAGGCTGCTTTCTTCAGCACACAATGTAGATACACTGTTGCTCTTTCTTTCTTTTGGAGGGAAGGAGAGTTGTGCAGAGGGTTCTCCTCTGTATAGAATTAGATACACTGTAGTTAATCGCATTTTCTGCTTTTGGATTCTGGGGGGGGGAGGGGGGGGGCGGGAATAGATGGTGAGGTTGCATCTAGTCCCAGTAACCTACTATGTGTAGAAGTGGCTGGTGGAGTACCTCCAACACATTTGGAGGGAGGGAGGGAGGAGGGAGAGTACAAAGTTAACATTTGTAAAGGTTCTGCAGTTCAAATGCTTGCTTGTAACTCCTGATCTTACAGTGATGTTACAGGGGTTGAAATTGCAGGTGCATTGAAAAATGTGTTGGCAATTGCAGCTGGCATTGTGGAAGGACTGAATCTTGGTAACAATTCCATGGCTGCACTTGTTTCACAAGGTTGCTCTGAAATTCGATGGTTGGCAACAAAGGTTAGTAGGCCTCCATCACACCTTAGAAGTTTCTGCATTTTCCATCTACTAGTTTTCTACACGACTCTCAAGCTATGTTGCTGCACCCATTTCGGATCCTCCAAAAATGCAATACTTTTGGAGGATCCGACACATACCCATCGATAATTGTGAAGGGTCTGAGCAACATAGCTCTCAAGCAGCTATTTGACAATTATTGTAATTCAAGCTTCAATTTTGAGTATGAGATATTAGGCACTGCTACATAGATTTCTCCTTCTTCTGTTCCCAAGTATTTCGCTGCTTGATAGCTCCTCATGGAGATCCTTAAGTGTATCAAGTCCATGTGGTCATACTTTCTAAAGAATCTGTGATTTTTTGAGCTAACAGTCTGATTATCTTTATCTTAAAATGCTGGTTGACACTAATCTCTTTCCTTTTAAGATGGGTGCAAAGTCAACAACATTAACTGGTCTATCAGGAACTGGGGATGTTATGCTTACATGCTTTGTGAGCCTTTCAAGAAACAGAACAGTTGGAGTTCGTCTGGGGTCAGGGGAAAAACTTGACGATATACTTAGTTCAATGAATCAGGTTCAAAAAATTGAGTTGCTGTATCATTTTTTGGCTTTGTCTGTTCTATCTCCTTAACAGCGACTACATATTTAGGTAGCTGAAGGTGTTGCTACAGCTGGAGCTGTGATTGCTTTAGCACAGAAGTACAATGTTAAAATGCCAGTTTTAACTGCAGTTGCAAGGATTATTGACAATGAACTAACGCCTACAAAAGCTGTTTTTGAACTGATGAATCTCCCTCAGGTTGCTCCCACGCTTTGCATGCTTTATAGTCAATTACCGAAAGGAACTTTGTCATGTCAGTGTGGCTCAAGAAACAATTATTACTAAATTTCAATTGTTTTGATTCTAATTTGCAGGTTGAAGAAGTTTAAAGAAGCACCGGTGTTAGAAAGACTATAATAGTTGCTGGGTGAAAGCTGAACATGTATACAAATTGTGACTAGCTGGCTTTTTGTTGCATGAGGCTCACAATCAACAAGTTGGAGAATGATCTTCACCTGTTTACTGGCTGCATAGTGCTGACACTCTCCAAGTTTATGGTGATGAAATCCGTCTGAGTTCCTTTTTACCATGTTATTAGTTAAGACATGTTCATATAATATGCTTTTAAGAGTTTTGGTGGAAGCTGTAGCTTGTAAGTAGTCATCAATATAACCACACCAATCGAGTGAATGTATTAGTTTTTTTATTCTTTTTTGTAATATGATAGTGAGCTAATGCAACTGTAAAAACATTACGGCTATGTGACGGCAAATATAAAATGTAGTACGTATTTATTTTCGTTAACAGACCTCTTTGTATTTTATCCCTTGTGTTGTTTTCTTGTCTTCTTTATTTGGAAGGGAGAGAGTTCAGATGTTGTAGTGCATTGTATTTCCCTATTCGGGCTAATAAGGTGTAGAGATATCCACTTTTTAACTCTTTTATTTAAAGGTTTACTTTTATTTTTTTGGGTCAACCTGAAAATTTTATTTAACCAAAGTAAAGTTTGTAATTCCACCTACGCATTGGACTATGGAGTCAGGATCATAATCGAACTCTGTATCATCATTTTATGCTTCACTATCGAACTACTCAGTTTGTCATCTTCTAGATAGGGTGTTAATTGAGTAGTTTCATCTAGTGGCATAAAATGTCTATTAACAAGATGTTCAACTTTTCTCAAGCATGTTTTCATTTGCATTGACTTTTGGCCTACAATGAATCGGATTATGAAGATTGATGTCGCCCAAATTACACCTTTTAAGTTGGTATAAAACGGTCGATGTCAAATATAGAACCCAATGACAGTGTGTGGCTAGAAATTACAATTTATGCAAGAATTCACTCTTCTGATGATCACTATTTCGAGAAAATAAGTATCTTGACAACCAAATTGCAAGTCAAAGGGAGATTCAGCAACCTACCAAAGGGAGCTTTCAATTTTATGGTTTTTTTTTTCGAAATGGTATCTTTAACTTAGGTTTTAACCAACATTAGCTATTGTCAAACATTACATCATAACATAATCTTATTTTCTAGTTATACTGTCAATCTATTATAAGTGCTTTTCCCGAAATACTTTTCACTCTCAGACCAAATATCAGAAAGTCCTTTTCCGATTTGTTCTTTTTTTAAGGAAAATGACTTCAATCATAGCAAACAAACCAGAATTCGGAGCATTACAAACACCTAAAGATCCAACTACAACTAGACAGCCGGCCAGCCATAACTCTATGGCTCTAAGGTAGCAAGATTTCTTGTCAAGTAAGTTTTAGTTTTTGTCTATAGACCCTTTTACAGGACAAGAAACCCCGTCACAAATGTGTAATAGGCTCTCTTGGAATTCAAACTCTTGATAGCTGTGCTATCATGAGAACATAAACATAGAAAATCATGAGCATGTACAATTTATGAATGCTTTAAAATGTTTAAACACAGAAGCAATACTAGTTTATTACAAATAAACAAGATGATCACACAACACAACCGAAACAAGAAATTACTCAGTGTACATTCAAGCAATCAAAATATCTGAACCTGAAAGCAAAAACAGTGCAAACATGGAACAGTTGTTGGCAGAAAAAACTTAAGACATCTGACAGGAAATACAACATAGCAAACCCGACCAATTAACTTTAGCTCGAAACTCTGTGTCTCTCTGGTGAGGTAATTTCCTTCCTCTACTTCTCTAGTATCCTGAATGAAACAACAAAAAGTGAAGCTCAATACACTTGTTAAAATTTCACTGATAACCCTTTATTAATCGTATTTAATTTGGTTCTAGAGGCATATTCTGAATCTCTTTTTCGCAATGCACAAGTTTTCTAACAGTGGATCAATAACCTTATAGAAATGTTCAGTCTTCAAAAGAAAATTTTCATTTTGTACACTCATCAAAAAGAAAGGATTTCAGTTACCTGAAATGTAGTAGAAGTAACCTCAACTTTGATCAATCTGTCATATGGCAAGTGGTCGGAAGCAATGCTCTAAGTTCGACTTGAACTTGTCGTCATCCCACTCTAATTGGCTCCACCATTCTGATGTTCCTCTTATTAATTTGATGCTCTTGGAGGTTTGAATAGACAGAGGCAACTTCCTTATTTCATTGCACCTTATCAAGGTAAGTACCTCCAGGTGTTCCCACATACTTTGTGGCTCTCCCAAGTTTCCTAATTTTGGTAAGTTTCTCAACACTAACTTTCGAACTCTTGGAGTTTCTGACTTGACAAGTGTTGCCTGACTAGAGTCGCGTTCCACGAACAACTCTACCAGCTGTTTACAAGAGGTAATTGTAATTTCTTCCAAGTGCTTGGGTATAGAAAAAGCGTCACCAACGCTAAAAAGACATGTTAAACTTGAACAATTAGACATATCTAGTTGGCGTAATTTAGAAAATCTTAGACCGAGAAGTTGACTGAAATCCGAAAAACTCTTTAAACGATATACAAATTCGAGGTTGAGATATTCCAGATTAGGCAAAGGGTCAAATGTTCCACTTCCTTCTTCTGCTGGATTGAAAGAACAAGAACAACTCCTAATGTAGAGTGATTTTAATCCATCGAAACTGTTGTACACAAACAACTTCCTGAGACCCAAGCAACTTTGCAAGTACAAATGTGAAGCAAACTGCAACATGCCTGAGAGCTTTCCGTAACGAAAAATATCACTCCCCGAGATGCATATCGTCCTTGCTGACTTGTTGAATGGTACATGAAATGGAGTTTCTCCAACTTCAATGCGAAATCTTTTCAATCTACTCATCCAGGTGTGGTCTCTATTGAAAATTGACGAGCTATCCAATCTAATAAAAAGCGAAGTTAGATTGTGTAAAGATGATATCTCATCGAAAGAAGTTACTCCAAGAAGAGTCACTCCAAATTTGGTGGAAGGGTGCATCATTTTACTCTCCATCATATTTAACATTTCAATGCTAGACAAGTTGAGGAAAAATTCTCGTCCGATGCCCTCCAAATCAGTTGCAGGAAGATTTAATAGCCGTAGATTTGTCAACTTGTTCATTCCTTGCGGCAGATGATGTAACCTTGTATTATCACAATCGAGCAATAGCAAATTGCAAAGATTATTAATAGGTGGTAACTCTGTCAACCAATGGCAATTTTTTAGTATTAGAGCATGTAGTTGATATAAACTATTGATGGAAGAAGGCAGTGATGTGATGCCAGTTTCACTCAGATTCAGAACTCTTAAGGCTGGAAATGCCAAAAAGAATTCATGAGGAATTTCCAAAAGGCGATTGTTATCTTGCAATAGTAAAGTTGTTGTCTCTGGGCATTCCGTGACGTTATCAGGTAGACGTTGAATTTTGTTGCTTACGAAAGATATTCTCTTGACAGAAGATGATATCCCAATTCCATCTTGAAAAACAGAATTGTGTTCAACCCCAAAGGATTTAGCTATCCATATAGCAACATCACGAACCAAGTCGTGCATCTTCACAGAATCCAAATTATGGGTTTCTAGCAAGCAGGCATCCTTTAGACTCTCAATCATTGTGATTCCCCTATTGTAGACTTCTTCGTATGTGTCATGTTCGCCAAGGAATTCCTCTGCCCACCAGCAACTTATGAGTTCATCTGTTGAAATGGACACGGGATATAAGGAGCAATACAAGAAACAACTTTGAATGTCACCTCTCTTTTTCTTCACATGATTGCTTCTTTGCTCTGAGGACAATTCAATATCCTGAGATTCTAAAGAATCAAAACTCCACTTGATGACCTTGTAAACCTTATCTTTTACATCTTTGTTATGAGGTTCAGACATTCTAAGTGATTTCAAAGCATCCTCCCAGAGCTCGACCCTTGTTTTCCCTCTCATAGATGCTCCAATAACAGTGACTGCTAAAGGTAAACCATCACACTCTCTTGCAATTTCCTTTGCCAATGGTTGAATATGCTCTAGATTGGCATTGTCTCCTGCATTTTTGATAAACAGTTTCCAAGATTCATCCTCATCCAATGTGTACACCTTCATTTCGGTGTCTATTTTCATCTGCTTACAAGCATCCAAAGAACGAGAAGTTATAATGACCTTGCTTCTTGCGGGATCTTCCAGTTGAGGCACACCTACATCATCTAAATTTATAGGTTCCCACACATCATCTAGTATGAGAAGGAAACTCTTTTCTTGTTCGAGTCTTCGATAGATTTTGCTGGCAATACTTTTAACATTTCCCTCGCTGTCTATCTTTAGGTTTAATTTGCTGGCAATTTGTGTTTGAACCTTTCTTATGTCTATTGGCGGTTTGGGCACTGTAACCCATAACACAATACCAAAAGACAGTTTAAAACTTGATACATCATTCTTTAAGAGCTCATTGTTCAGATTATTCACCAATGTTGTTTTCCCAACACCTCCTGTACCCCACACACCGATGATGCATACCTGAAAGGATTCAAATACCACAAAAATAATTTATCCGCAAGTCATAGAAGAAATTTAGAAAATTAGAGAAAAAAGGACATAGGAGACTTTGATCATTCAGTCGTAATCTTTTGACCTCAAATTAGTTAAGTTCAGAGGGTGTATTAAGGAGAATAATTTTTTATGTTAAACATGTTGATTTCTTACTTATTTGCTAGTGTTGGTAAGTAAACAAAAAACATAATCTCAAGCACATTTTTAAGTAATCTAATAAAACACTATAGGAGTTGGAGGGAGTGGGACCTCAGGGGTGACAGGGCTTGGGTGGGTGGGGAGGATACAATAAATATACAATGTCAATTATAGACCTGTTTTCCCTACTTTCATCAACGAAGTCATTTTTCTCATTTTTAAAGAACTTGTTTTTCTAGAGAAAATATTTTCTAAAAAATTTGTTCAACCAAACATGGAAAAATAAGAAAATGTTTTCCTCCGTACTAATGCCGGCAAAATGAGCCCATATTTTGGTAACCCGCCCATATTTTAATAGGTTGGGTGAGTGACTTTTTACATGGGTAAAATATGGGTTGATACTCATATTCAACCCATAAAAATATGGGTAAAATATGGGTAAACTATGGGTAAAATATGAATTAGCCAAATGGGTTAAGCTTCTAACTTTTATTCACTCAAAATTCATGATATCACTAAAAAAAATTTTATAACTTTTCTTCCTTTTTATGTTCTTCTATAGAACTAATTATTTTTCTCTATAATTGAAAATGTGAAGTCTTTGGCCCTCCAAAAATATATATTTTAAATGTACATTTCTTTTGTTAATTATAATTACATTTTTATGTTTGTTTAATTTTATATTGGATAATAAATAATAGTGTAAAATAAGCAAATCATGTATTAGTATTGACATTGCTTAAGCCTTAAAGTGCATTAAGCATGTTTTAGTCCTAAAATGCAACTATTCATTTACTTTGGAATTAAAAATATTTTCCCCTTGTTATTACATAAATTCATTCTATATTGAAAAGTTAGGATAGTATTTTTTTACTTTTATGATACAATAAAACTAAATGAAGCATTTTCAACATTTTTCAACTAAAAAAAGACTAAAATATTTTCTCCATGTTGAATTCTTAAGTAGAGTACTATTTACTCATGAAAATATGGGTAAAATATGGGTAAACTAGTATTTTACCCAATCCATTCTTACCCATATCAAATATGAGCGGGTTGAATTATTACCCATTTTATGTTGACCCATTTTTCACCCGCCCAAATTTGACCTAACCCGCCCATTTGCCACCACTACTCCGTACTAAACACAGCCTAATGTGTGTTTGGTATGAAGGAAAATGTTTTCCATGAAATATATTTTCCTAGAAAATGTTTCTTGAAAAACAAGTTGGTTAATTTCTAACTTATTTTCTCATGTTTGATTGATGAGTGGAATTTTTTTCTAGTGTTTGGTTGATGAATGAAAAACATTTTTCATAAAATATCTTCTACGTTTTACTAGAGAAAAGAAATAATTTTTAGGAAAATTTTGACCTGGAAATCAACTCCCATAACTGATTCGGGACCCAACCCCGACACATGAACTAGGAATGACCCAGACAACCAATCCAAGATCCAACCACGAGACCCGATCCAGGACTTGACCTCGACTCCCGACATTTGAACAAGGACCCAACCCCAAATCCGATATCCGAATCTTCATAAGACCTCGATAATCGATCCAAGATCTGATCCCGACACTCGACTTGAGATATGACCCCGACTCCCAACCTGAGATCCGACATTCGAACTGGAACCAAACCTGACCCCGACACCCGACCCCAATAACTAATTCAGGACTTGATCCTGACACCCGACCTAGGGTCGACCCCAACTCGGTACTCAACACCTAAATCGGGACTTGACACTCGAATCGATACTCGACTTTCGAGCTAAGACCCAACCCCGACATCTGATACAGGATCTCACCCAGGACCTGACTTCCGAATCGAGACTTGACTTCCAATAGAGACCCAATTTTCAAATCTAAACTCGACCCCGACACCCAACTCAAGACTTGATCACCACACCAGACGTATAACCCAACTTTTGAATCGGTATCTGACCCGACTCCCGAACCTAACTCTCGACTTCCAAACTAAGACTCAACCCCAACTCCCGACCCGAGACTTGAATTTCAAATGAGGATCCGACCCCGACACCCGACCCTTGACCCCGACGACCGATTTGGGACCCAAAGCTGACATTTGCCCTGGGACCCGACCTCAACTCTTGACCCAGGACTTGACTTCCGAATGAAGACCCGACCCTAACACCAGATGAGGGACCCAACTTTGGAATTGGGACCCCACCCTAACACCCGACTTGGGACCCAATCCCGACACCCATCCTAGGATCCGACCCTGACTCTCGACCCGAGACCCCATACTGGCACTTAATGTGGGACCCAACTCGATTTTTCGACACCAAATTTTGAACCGAGACCTGACCCTAACATCCAACCCATGACTCGACTTCTAAACCGGAATCCAATACCGATACCCCCAGCCTCCATCTGGACACCTAACCTCGACCCTAATGATCAATTCAAGACTCAAACCTAATATCTCACCCGGGACCCAACCTCGACTCTCGACCCAAAACTCGATTCTGACACCCAACTCTAAACTCCACCCCTACACCTGACTCGGGACTCGATCTTAATACCCGATTTGAGATCCAACCTCAAATCCTGACTTGGAACCCGACACTCAACACGGGATTCAAATATTTTTCAAAACAGTTAAGCCTACCAAGCATGAGAAAATTAGAAAACTTCATACCAAACACACCCATATCTCCACTTAACCTCCTTAAGAAAAGAGGCAGTAGCACTCATATTTATAATAGAATAAAAATCAACTTTTGTCTAGAAATCATTTCGACTATAAAATCTAATTAAACAGGAATCAATAAAAGTAGCAACTACCAAATTCTACACAATTTAGGCTTATTAATCTTGATTTAATTCCAACAATACCTTATCATCTTCTAATAGTTGTAGGATTTTGTGGAGATTTTTTGTTGCTGCTGACTGGCCTTCTATCAATGATCCCGGCATGAACTCAACTTCTTTCATCTGGTAATTTTCTACCACCAAGTTGGATCCAAAGTTTTTTCTGACCTCTATAAGCCTGAAAAGTTGATCTTGCACAATCCGTGCTTGAGTGGAGACTTCCGAGCCAAGAATGCACTTTGGACAACACTTATATGTAAGCTTCTTTGCCGCTGCAATGTTTTCTTGCATAGTTTCCCATTCATTCTCCAGCTTGTGAACATCTTCGATCCACCAGATAACATCTGGTTTTGCTTTATAGCTTTTTTTCTCATATCGTTCCACATTCTCTTTGATATCATCTCTAAACTTTGTTAGCTTCTCCATTTCCTTTCTTAGATTTTCAAGTTTTGATGAGAAACGGGCGGTATTTTCAACATTAGGACAGATGCATTTACACACATTCTTTCCCACCTCAACAAAAAAACCACCTACAGCATTAAAAAGTATTTCCATTGAACAATTTTGATCAGAATGCTAATAGAGAAGTTCTCAAAGATTATGAAATGAAGCTAAACTGATTTGTTTCCTGTTTGTTTGTTTAAGGTAGAAAACTAATAAGAAGGAAAAGACAATTATTGGTAAAAGTCAAGGACTTAACATAATAACAAAAGTAGACAACAGAATCAAAATAATTAAGCACGTCCTCTGCACTACTTTAGGTAAATGTCAAACTATTTGGACTGATTCAATTTTCACAACTAAGCTGTTTTTTGATATCTCATATAGCTTCTCTGAGAAAAATGATCAAAATAGTCCTTAATGTATTGATTTCGATTCGATTGATTTGGTCCATGATATATAACAACTTATGGAAATGATCTTTATTATGCTAAATGACTTATCACTCTAGTTTTGTATCAGTTCCAAAGGGTGAAAACTCCCGCCTTCCCGACAATGAAGTTAGCACATTTGAACAATCAGGGCTTTCGTATACAACAACTTAAAGTCAAAAGCTAGTGTAATCATTTAAAATTTATTAATTATAAATTTATAAAATGATTTGAATTATATTAAATTCATAAATATGTTGGTGTAAATAAATATTATGGATTAATTTAATTGGTTAATTACTTAATTCCAATAAATATGAATTTGTTTAAAGTCCAAATTAATTGATTTGGGCTACAATATATGAGCTCAATTTGCTAAATGTCATCTTATCCTAGAGGCCCATTTTGGTGCCACATGGCAAATGACGTGGCATGCCAAGTCAAATAAAGAATCAATAGGATCATGACATGTGTCAAAAATGACATGCCCGCTCCATAAAGCCCATATGTCATGTCAATTAAATTTGATTTGGCCGAAGGGAATCTTGTTCCAATAACAACTCCTCTATTCTAAAACTATAAATAGGGGACCTCGTAATTCAGAAAAGGGACCTAAAATTCTAAACAAGAAGGTAGAGAAAGCCTGTGGTACAAACGCCATAAAATTCTCTATAAGCTACATGTTTAAGAATTCAAGCATTCAAGTTCAAGAACGATCAAGATCAAGACCATCGGCTTCAAGAACAAGCTCGAAGCCTTTGAGTTCAAGTAAAAGTCAAGATCAAAATAAAGTTCAAGTTCAAGTTCATCGAAGATTCAAGAACAAACTTTAAAGCCCTTGAATCCAAGATCAAGTTCAAGACAAATTCAAGATCAAGCTCAAGAGCCCTTGAATCCAAGATCAAGTTCAAGACAAATTCAAGATCAAGCTCAAGAGCCCTTGAATCCAAGATCAAGTTCAAGACAAATTCAAGATCAAGCTCAAGAGCCCTTGAATCCAAGATCAAGTTCAAGACAAATTCAAGATCAAGCTCAAGAGCCCTTGAATTTATATTTGAAAAGGCGAATTGAGAGGAATCATAGAGATTGTAACACTCGCACTTTGAAATAATAAATACGATTACTGCGATACTTTTCCGTTCTTGATTATTGTTTTCTCGACGTAAATTTTATTGTCTACAAATTGGCCCGCCAGTGGGACCAAATCTTCCCTTCGTCCCTTCTCTCTTAAATTAAATCAAATCTGAAGTTGCAAAGGTGGAAGAATGAATACTTCAAGGCTCGTCTTTGAGTTTCATCAAGTCTACACTCTGACAAGCCTTGAAGCAGGGGGCATTTGTAGACATTGAAATTTTGTAGGACTCTACAAGACGTGTTCAATTTGAGTTGAGACTCTACAAGGTGTGTTCAATTCCAATTAGAATTCTTGGAGGCAACTCAACCCTAAACCCTAGTTCATGCCCATATAAAGAGTGCTATATTCCCTTGAAAAGGCATCTCGAATATCTCAAATATCCCATAAACTCTTGGGTATTTTTAAAGATCTCGAATGTCTCAAATATTCCACAAACTCATGAAATATTCATTAAGAGATCAAATTCAAATCATCTTAATTCGAGAAATACGCCACTAACGGCCCTCAAATATGTAGATCAAGTCCAAATCATCTTAGTTTGAGAACTACGCCACTAACGGCCCTCAAATTATGTAGATCAAGTTCAAATCATCCTCTTTTGAGAAATATGCCACTAACGTCCCTCAAATTATGTAGATCAAGTCCAAATCATCAAAGGTCGAGAAATACACCACAAACGGCCCTCAAATTATGGATAAATATCTTATGAGAGAAGAATCAAGGAATCAACAGAATTATACCTGCAATCTTGATAAATAAAATTATGTTTCTTCATATTTTTTTGTGATTGTAATTTATAAAATTTGTTGCAAACACTAGAATTTTAACTTTATGGGTTCTGAATTTTATAATGACGATTTTAAATGATAATAACTGAATTCTAAATTTAATATTTGTACATATTTAATGAATTTATTAAGACAATTATACTATTTGAACAAAATCTAATGGAACCCGCAAGTATTCTCTTTCTAATGGTTAAGTTTTTGATGAGATGGCCATGCACTTTTAATCTGGTATCCTTAGTATTTGTACATACTTGATCTATTTCCAAGAAAATTTCCATTGAAGTGCAGGGGATGGGAGCAAGTCCAGCTTCTTCTCACAGATGCTATGCGTTTCCTTTGCTTCAAATCCCGTCAATTTTCCGCTATCAATGCTGTGGTGTTAGTTAATTCCAAAATCAAAGCATTTATCCAACAAGGAAACCATCTTCAAGCTCTGTTAGCTTACTCTAAAGAACCTCTTTTTCCTCTCCACACTTCAAAATTCACTTTTCCTCCTCTCCTAAAAGCTTGCGCTTTTCTTCCAAATCTTCAAACTGGGAAAATAATCCATGGCACAATCATTCAAATGGGTCTTCACTATGATCCTTTCATCATCACTTCACTCATCAACATGTATGTAAAATGTAGCTCACTTTGTAATGCAGTCCAAGTGTTTGATTTTATTTCTCAATGTGAAGATTTCGATCGAGATGTAACTATATGGAATGCTATGCTAGATGGGTATATCAGAAATGAGCTTACTGAGGAGTGTATGGATTTGTTTAGAAGAATGCAAGAGATTGGTGTCAAGTCTGATGAGTACTCTCTTAGTATTCTTCTGGGGTTGTTTAATGGTCGAATGGGGTTATCGAAAGCAAAAGAAGTTCATGGTTATGTTATTAGAAACTCATTTGGGCATGATCCTTTTGTGGTTACTGCGTTGATTGATATGTACTCAAATTGTGGTAGGCCAAAAGATGCTTGGTGCGTTTTTGAGAGTGTACAAGACAAGGATAATATTGTCATGTGGAATGCATTGATTAGGGGCTTATCGGAGAATGGATTATGGAGAAACAGCATGAGACTCTATTCTTTAGCTAAGAATTGGGGCTGCAAACTTATGTCGACGACTTTTTCTTGTACTTTGAAGGCTTGTGCTGAGGGTGAAGATATAGATTTCGGCAGGCAGATCCATTCGGATGTTGTCAAGATGGATTTTGAGAATGATCCTTATGTATGTACTTCGGTGTTGTCTATGTACGCAAGGTTTGGACTGTTGGAAGATGCAGACAGGGCTTTTAATTCTGTATTAAACAAAGAAGTTGAAGTGTGGAATTCTATGATCTCAGCTTATGTTGGCAAGGGCAGAGGCGATGATGCTTTGTGTGTGTATAATGAGATGCGATCAAGAGGCATCCTTTCTGATTCTTTCACCTTGTCAAATATTCTTATATCATGTAGTATGACCGAATCTTATGATTTAGGCAGTGCAATTCATGGTGAAATGATAAAGAAACCAATACAGAATAACATTGCGTTGCAAAGTGCTCTAGTGACTATGTACTCAAAATGTGGAATGTTAAAGGATGCTCTTGACGTTTTCAGTAGAATGGAGAAGAAGGATGTGGTCGCATGGGGTTCAATGATCTCAGGTCTCTGCCAAAATAAGAAATTCAATTTGGCACTGGAAATATATAAGGAAATGGAGACTCATAAGGTCAATCCAGACGCTAATATAATGGCAATGGTGATAAATGCTAGTGCAGGACTAGAAAGCTTAGAATTGGGTTGCAGTATCCATGCAATCACTGTTAAGAGCGGGGAGGAAGTAGATAGTTCAGTGAGCTGTTCTCTTGTAGATATGTATTCTAATTGTGGCAAGCCAGAAATGGCTGAAAAGGTTTTTTCGGGTGTTCCCCATAAGAATTTAGTGGCTTGGAATTCCCTGATCTCTTGTTATTCGAAAAATGACTTACCAGAGCTTTCTTTAAATCTTCTTCCTCAACTTGTCCAACAAGGATTGTATCCAGACGCTGTTACAATAACTAGTGCCCTTGCTGCTGTTTCATCCTTAGCAACACTGATTAAAGGAAAGGCAATTCATTGTTACCAAATAAGGCATCAAATTCTTGAAGACAACCAAGTGGAAAATGCTCTTATTGATATGTACATAAAAAGCGGATGCCTAAAGTATGCAGAGTGTATATTCCAGTATATGTCCAAAAGGAACTTAGTAACATGGAATACAATGATTGCAGGGTATGGATCTCACAGTGAGTGTATGAAAGCTATCAACTTTTTCAATGACATGAGGAAATCCGGAGTGACGCCTGATGCTGTAACTTTCCTTTCCTTGATTTCCTCTTGCAACCATGCTGGTTTAATGGATGAAGGCCTTAAACTGTTTCACTTAATGGCATTAGAGTATGGAATCAAACCACAAATGGACCACTACATAAACGTGGTTGACCTTCTAGGCCGTGCTGGACGCTTGGAAGATGCTTACAATTTCATACAGAATTTGGAAGTGGAACCTGAGAGGGGGGTGTGGCTATGTCTTTTGTCAGCCTGTCGGGTTCATCAAAACGTGAAGCTTGGAGAAATAGCAGCCAAGAACCTTCTGAAGATGGAACCAAACAGAGGCAGCAATTACGTTCAACTTTTAAATCTCTATGTGGAAGGTGGGATGAGGGAAGAAGCAGCAAGTTTGAGGACTCTGATGAGGCAGAAAGGGTTGAAGAAGAACCCTGGATGTAGCTGGATTGAGGTGAAAAATGAACTTGAGGTTTTCTACTCCTGTGATTCATCCTCCACCAAGACAATTGAGATCTATGAGACACTACAAAGTCTCAGAAGTATTATGAAAAAGAGAGGAGATTATGAGACTGAGGCAATATGAGACGAGAACAGGAATTTGCATCTCTTCCTTTACGAACATGGTGAAGGTTATATATGTTGCTCGGACTCTTCAAAAATGTCAATGGGTGCGTGTTGTATTCTCCAAAAGTTGTGTATTTTAAAGAACCGACATGAGTACAGCATCAAGGGGAACTTGCATTTTCAAAATACCCTCTTTGACTTGCCATGTTGAACGGTCAAGACTTCTCATCAATCTTACATTTCACCATACTACATAAAATAATGTTTTTGTTGTTATGAGGATGCTATAAACTTATGTTTCTTTCTCGAAGCAGTAAAAGAAAATAATTTTATTCAAGACAAACATATTCTTACCATAAATTTATATTTACCATAATTTTTTGAAATATTTTTTTTCTCTGAGCAGGTGTCCAAAAACTTGCATTCCATTGAACGTTGCCAGCGGGAAATAGCGGGTAAAGTCACAATACTTAACTCATTGTAATCGCAAAATCATTGATTGGGAGATTTCATCGTTACAGAAAAATCTAGTGATTATACTGTTATAATGAGTAAAGTAAAATTACTTAAATGTGACAAATATTTAGTGACACTTCTACTATTGTCGGTAAGATTTAATATAGCAGGTAAAAAATTGCTGTTATTAAATTGGCTTACTTCAATTTGAGAAATAAATTCATGACTTGAACTATTATATATTGATAAGTTAAAAGTAAAACTCATCTTTTACATTCTGCATCAACTTGAAATAAATTAACATTCTGGCATTGAGTCGTTTTGGAGCGACTGCTGAAATTGAAAAATAAAGCTTTACATACAGGAAAAACAAGACAAACATACTATACTGCAGAGCTTTTCACAATGACTTACAAGCTATCTCTCTACATTAGATGAAAAGTAATGGCATCTATCATTTACAATGAATTGATTACTTTTCTTACAGGAAGAGAACAGAGATTTCAAGTGTTTTGACAAGGAGACGATTATATATTGAGGAATCAAGTAATACAACACATCTATAGAACTTCCATTTATATATTTCAGTTGGAACTTTAGCCGCCTCGGGGAAAAAATTTACAGGATCAACTCAAATCTGCTGCTGAGCCTTAGCTTTGCTTTTGTAATTTACATTCCAGATGATGTCCGGTTTACTCTTTGCGCACCCAGTTTAGGAGCTGCAGGTTTGGTTCCTCGGCCTCGCCCAATTGAAGGCCTTGCAGAGGAAGTTGGCACAGGAGCTGCAATAGCAGCCCAGGGGTCATTGTCATCAAGTGCTCCACTTCTTTTCACATTCAAAGGCTTAGACGAAGGAGCTGGGGCTGCTATGGCAGCCCAAGGATCGTCATCGTCAACCGTTTTGTTTGCTCTCGAGTTTGATGGCTGAGAAGTTGTTCTTGGAGCAGGAACAGCTACAGAACCCCACAAATCTTCATCATTATCTTTACTCATCTTAGGAGTGGTTTTACCCCGCAAACCAGTACCTACCACAAACATTAAAGAAAAGAAATTATACTTGACCTGACAATCAAATGATATGATCTGCTTACTATTTCTAGTCTTTATTTTCTTTTAATTCCTTCATTATGGCTCTCTAGGGTGGGTTGTGTGGAAGGAGGGTACGGGAAAGGGAGAGCATTGCCAGAATCAGTTAAAAAATTAAGTTTCCTATGAGCAATCAGACAACCTATAATTATGAATTGCAGCAGTTGAGATCCTCCCAGTCATACACAAGTTGATACCCAGCCAAACCCCCACTGATCTTGGATCTTGCCTTTTGTTACACACGAATCAATGAATTGCAATCTTCCTAGAGACATATATATTAGATGGAAGCATTTGTTTACACTCAAATTTACCAGGCATTCTACCTTGTGGTTTTGGTTGAGAGACAGGACGCCTTTGAGCAGCTTGAATATTTGCAAGAGAAGGAGATGGTTTTGGTTCTTCTTGTGGATTGATGTCATCCCAACCATCTTTGTCACTATCATGACCCTCGTGAATTCCACTTTCAAGTTCTCCCCATCCATCAGATGATGCTGGGGATACAGGAATAGGATGATCTGCAACATCTGCTCCAGAACTTATATGGACTGGTTTTATACTTGCACTATCTGCAACTACGTGATCTGAAGAAACCAATATCAATAACAAATCCGGAGACAAAAGGCATCCTCATAAGCATTAAACTCATTTTGAAAAGCAACGTGACAATAATCTCAGTTATCCACTAACGGAAGTAGCATAATGCAAAGGAAACAAGTTGGTAAGAATCATACTTGCGCTAGCATCGGAGACTGCAGACGCAAGAGGCACACTAGAAATAGCTGGAGCATTGGGATTCTGTTCAGAGGTTTTGCCTCCTTTAAGCGTCAGTGAGCTCATAGCCCAGCTGCATCAAAGCAATGAAGGCATATTGAAGTAGACAAGAAAGAAAAATGCAAACTGAATAAAGGAAAAGGAAAATCACACAGCTTCAATCACAGTGAACAGACTTCAAAAACATTAGCCATTCTTAGTAATAATTCCTCAATAAAATACTCTAATACACAATCAACGCCCTTCAAATTGCCATAATCACAGGAAATACAAGTTAACAGAAGGTTTCAGCCATAATTATGGCCAAATTCAGGAAAATAAGCTTTAAATTTTGATTTTTTCAGCTTCTTGCCAAATCAGTGTTGTGATGGTCAAATGTTGAAGTAGCAGCAAAAATATAGAACAGAAGTATACCCAAGCAAACCCGCATTTCCCGGAATTGATGAAGTTCCCATGCTTGTAGTGCTGGTATCTCCGGTGCTCGTCTGTATAAGCCCAAAAAAATACCTATTATGCAAGCCCAGGGGAAGGGAGGAAGAAAAAGAGATTCACATACAAGTGAAAATGCAACAAAGATCAGAAATGGGGCACTGATGGGAGAAGAGAATGACTACCACGAAAAGGACAATTTAAACATGTAGAAAATACATGCAAGCAAGCAAGAAAGTAACGAATAATTATCTTAACAGCAGTAATTTATGTTGATCATACCCAAAATGCCCACTAATGTGGTAAAAGGTTAGATTTGAAGAAAACAAACCAACAAGAACACCTAAGTTGAACACAAGAAAATATTTTCTGAATAGATGCAGAAAATGTTCAAAAAGCTTGTTAAATTAGGTCTTGGTCCTAACTCACACCTAGGGGTGTCAAAATGAGTCCAAATATAGGTAATCCGCCTAGAATTTATGCGTTGGGCTCAAGATAATTTGAATTGGGTCAATCTCAACTCATTCAAGCCGTAATCATTTAAAAAGAATCTTCAATTGAGCCCAATTCAATCTCCAATTTCAACCCGTTTTAAGACACTTTATTTGCAGTGGTATAATGTATGTTTCCATATTGAAAGGTATGAATTACTATCTATTTCATATCTTCTAGGATTTATTCCATTTGTAACTTATTTTTTTTTATTTTCTTGAGTTGAAATTCAAATCGTGGTTACAAAAAGTAAATAACAATATGTTAAAATTATTGAGATTAAGTGGATCAAATTGGATGGGTCATGACTCAACCCAATTTTTAGCTCATTTGAGCCTGTAGTAAATTTGGGCGGGTCATAACCAACCCGATTTCTATTTCAATCAATTTTTGTATCTCCAATTTCAACCCAACCCACCCAGTTGACATCCCTAATCACACCCCAAAAGCTAGCTCATGAGGGAAGGATTGCTCAAGTACATATAAGCAGACCACCAATCCATTCCCAACAAATGTGGGACTTTTTAACCCACTCTAATACCCCCCATTCACAGGTAGGCCCAACTGGAGCGTGGAACGGGAGCCCAAACAGAGATGGACCCGACTTTGGTAAACATATGACACTTGGGCCTAACTCAACCTCGAAATCTAGCTCATGAGGGGAGGACTGTCCAAGTCCATATAAGCAAACCACCTGTCAATTCCCCAACCAATGTGGTACTTTAACCCACTCTAACAAAGCTGAAGGCAGTCTAATGTCAAAGTTTATCCAAGTAAACCGGGAAAAGCTCCCACAAATGGAAGAACTATACTGCCCCACCGAGCAGTTAATTATCACATGGATTAACAAGTAGAATTGTTGCTCTTTCAGATAAGAACAGGGGCAGTCTATGTCTGCTGAAGCAGTTCATGACTTCAAAGGGGTAAAAGACCTTTTTCTTTTTTTTATCCTTTATGTGGCTATGCCAAAGTTACCCAACAAGGTAATACCATCTATTGATCTCTCATCAGAGCTTCACAGAAAGAAAGCTTTAAAACTCAAGACTATTATGTGGAGAACATATGTGCACGAAATAAAAATCAAGAAGAATATATACCTTGTCATGGTGCTGCTTGACTATTTGCAAAAATTGGTCAACTGCTTGGAATGCTTTTTGACGAACATCGCTGTTTCATCGAAAAGGGGGCAGTGAAAGTGCAGACACAGAAATGGTTGTCCAAATGATCAGAAAGAAAGATTCGCTCAAGCACAATGAAGGTTCGCAAAGTAACATCAAGCAGATAAACATCAAATAATCTTCACCGTCATCTGGGCCAAGGAAAACAAATATTCCACACAAATACTCCCTCCACCCAATTCATACTCTTCCTACTCTGAGACATTCCAAAGATGTTTTGACAGCATTGCATTAATTATATTCTTTTAAGGATTCAACTTAATCTTACTCTTCAACTAATTTTCTTTATATGAAATGTTTTTTTTATCAACTTAACTTTTCAATCATTAACCTCATATCCTTAAACTGCCACTAATATAAGACAAAAGTCAAACTAGTGGAACAGAGATAGTAGAAAAGGCGGAAACTGTTCTGGAATACCATATTAGAAGTTTCTGTAGTTCAGTTTTGCTTGGCACTAGCACAAGCTAGAGGTTCGCAAAGTAAACAAATCAAAACGTTCCTTTTGATAACCAACAAAACCATTGTTCCAGGCTTCCAGATTCAGAACTTGGTGGATAATATACCAGGTCCTCTACTGCAAATATGTGTTACTTTCTTAAAG